CCCCGGGCCTGAGTGCCTGAGTGCCGTCCCACTTTTCCATAATGGCCATGCAGTGCACTAGGCGACAGCGGGAAAGGAAGCACAGACCGACCCTGAAGGAAAATTGGTTCTGGCCCTGCCTGGATGTGGGGGTTGGTGTGGGAGGCACCAGGTGGGGGATCCTCCCTGCTGAACCCTTGGGAGACCTGATGGAGGCGGGATGGGGGGTGGTGCTGGTGGTTCTTTCCCCAGGGTCACTTCTGTGATGTGGTCACTGGTTTCCTCCGGCCACCACAAGAAAGTACCACAAACCGGGGGAATGAGACAACAGGCATGTCAGTCCTCTGGTTCTGGAGGTCAGGAAGCTGAAGTCAAGGTGTGACGCAGCTGTGCTCCCACCGGGACACTGGGTGAGGGACCTTCCTTGCCCCTGGAAACTCCTAGATTGTAACCCTGCCGCTCCCACCTCCTCCGTCTTCATATGGCCTCTTCTTTATGAAGATGCCAGTCACCAATCAAGATGTACCCTAGGGATTCCGTCTCAGTGTTCACACCTACAAAGAACCTACTGCCAAATGTCCCAAGCCAAGGCCTATGACTTGAATGTAGCCTTGGGAAGCCACCATGCAGCCCACCATCATGGGGGGGTGGCACTGTGCCAGTCACCCCTGCCACTGGGCTGTGTAGAAGGTAGCAAGGGTTAAAGGGCAGGGATTCCCGCTGTACAGATTCTAGCTGGGTGACCCTGGCAAGTGCCGTGCCCGTCTCGCGTCTCTGAAGTGTCGTACCTGCTTCACACGGGCACAGGCACTGAACGAGCAGCCAGCTTGATGCGGCATCTGCTGTCCTTACCACCCCCTTCACACGGGTAGTAGGACACCTTTGGGACGGGAGAGGAAGCAGACCCCCGGGGCTCAGCCTGCCCTGAGCTTTGGGGTGCATCTAGTCCCACACAGGCCCCGGGCTCACAGTGAACATCTGTGGCAGCTGGGAGCAGCTGCTTGCTGAGCCCAGGGCTGAACCCGAAGCTCTGAGGGGCTATAAGACTGGCTCTTGGGTCTGCCTGGGGCTGGGACGTTGGACCCAGGAATACACCTGCCCGTGCCTGGAGATGTGCACCCCCAGGTGAGCCCCGTGGGTTTGAAAAGCAGGCCATGGAGGTCACACGTTCTTTCTGCTCACATCTTCCCTCATCAGCACCCTCCAGTCACTTGGGTATTGAGGATGGTCACCCCCTCTGAGAGGCTTCGCTCCCACCCAGTGCCAATCCCTCTTATTTCCATCAGGCACTGCCGCCCGCCTGCCTCCTTCACTTGTCCCCACCACTGGAAAAGAGCAGTGTCAGCAGGCTTCCAGGGGTAAGGCTGACGGGGCTGAGAGCCGAGGACCTACGGAGTGACCAGCTGGGCTTGGCGTGTGGGGCCTGCCCGGCCAGCCGCATACTGTGTTCTGGGACCTGTAGATAGCTCAGGGTGGCTCATGTCCCTACAGATAGTGTGGGGGAGCCCACAGGGCGGGGTCCCCCATATGACAGGGATTGGGGGAGGGGCAGGTGACACCTGGGTGAGGCTGCAACTAGGGAACTGTGGGGAATGTGTAGGTGGCCCAGGGGCCCCGGTCCTCTTGCATTCTCTCAGGTCTGTGCATGGTGGGTCTGGGACCCCCAGCAGAAACGGGAGTGACCCCGTGCAGGGAGGCTCTTTGCAGCCTGGAAGATGCCGTCTGTTCTGAAATCAGGTAACAATCATTACTTGCCTGCGCAGTGACTGCATGATCTGTTCTCCATTTTAGTCTTGGATGAATTTTTATTTTTTTGGTACTGGGGATTGAACCCAGGGGCACTTAAACACTGAGCCACATCCCCAGCCCTTTTTTATATTTTATTTAGAGACAGTCTTGCTGAGTTGCTTAGGGCCTTGCTAAGTTGCTGAGGTTGGCTTCGAATATCTCATGATCCTCGTGCCTCAGCTTGCAAGCCACTGGAGTTACAGGTGGGTGCCACTGCACCACCTCTATATTTCATTTCTTCATCTATCTATTTAGTGGGCACCAGGGATTGAACTCAGAGGCACTCGACTACTGAACCACATTCCCAGCCCTATTTTGTATTTTATTTACAGACAGGGTCTTGCCGAGTTGCTTAGAGACTCGGTTTATGTTGAGGCTGGCTTTGAACTTGCGACCCTCCTGCCTCAGCCTCCTGAGCTGCTGGGATCACAGGCGTGCACCACCGCCCCTGGCATATTTTTAATAGACACACAGTAATAATGGGTGTTGATGGGGTCCAGTGTGGCATTTCCATGCCGGGGGCAATGTGTACTGATCAGGCTGGGGTCACTCGCGTGCCCACCACCAGTT